AATGGTACTGTTGTATTTGGTGTAGCATTAAACTGTATTATGTACTGTAGGTATAAAAATGGCTACACTATAATGATGGTTAATGACACCAGTGTGGCAATAGCAGATTTTGATGATCTTAGTAACTCTGTACCATTGTGTATTGATAATAGAGAAGGACTTTTGTGTTCACAGTGCCCGTCTGGGTATAGTGTAGTGTTTGGATCTTATGAATGTAAGCAATGCAGTAACTGGTGGCTATTCACGCTAATAATATATGCAGTGTCTGGTCCTCTTCTCATTCATTTGTTTTATGTTCTCAAACTGACACTGACTACTGGTACACTTAATGGTATTTAATATCCTATGTAGCTCAATAATATAGAAACCTTGCAAACTACCAAAGGTAGAAAGAAGGTAGGGTTGGTAACTTTTGTATGGGCCACACCCCCTAAGCTTGCAACATAAATAAATGGTGGTCAAACTGAACCTGAGGCTAGGAGAGTTGCATTTCCCCCGAGCATGGGGTCTGCCTCTAAACAACAAATTGGTCCGCCCGGTCCCTAGGGCCTAAACCTAACAATGTATCCTACTGCCTATTCCTAGAACCTAACCTACACCCTAGAAGCTAACTAACTCCTATTACTAGGATTCGGACGGACCATAACTGAGGCACAATCAGCTGCTTGAGATAAATAGCTATGCTGCATTAGCTATGCTGCATTACCTATGCAACTCGGGTCAGGCAATTACCCACCATGCGAGCCTGCATGAGTATTAAGGCTTGCAAGAACAGAAGGTACATACTGTTCAGGCCATGTAGATGTATAGGAATAAAATAATGAATTAGGGGGAGTGTGGGTCAAAGACCCTGCCCAATGCGCAAGCAACACTCCCCAAACCAATATATAAGAATAAATTGACAGAAAAATTATATCATCAAAAGAAAAGAAATAGCAAGTGCCAACTATAGGGAGCTCTTAACAACTACACAAACAACAAAATGCAAGGAGCAGTACATGAGTATGAATGTGTTAGATGAGAAGACGAGGGGCCACGCTGCAAATCTGCTCTCTTGAAGTCCTGATGTATGACTGAAAAGCGGCAGATTTCCACCGACCTAGGGTTTGAATTAACAAGTCGTTAAGGCCAGCCCTAGCTGCCGCAGAAGCTGCACCTATCCTAAAGCTGTGCCCCTTATAATGGGAGGGGTCCAGGCCAATTGACCTCAATGCAGTAGAAAGCTCAGACACCAGGCGATGCCTAGACAACACATTACCATCCTGAAAAATAAAGAATGGGCCAGGAGTACGAGGACGAACTGCCAGGTAAGCGAGCACTGCAGACACGGCACACAACTTTCCAAAGGAACGACCAACATATAAGGTAATCCCAAGAGCGAATGGGTCGCCCTTACTTCTCTTGAGCCGAACAGATAGGTAGGATGGGTTGCTGTGAGAATCCACCGCCACGTCCCCCACTGCAAGCATACCCGACTCATCAAAGCTAGCCCAAGAGGGACAGGTAAACTCTCCTGCACGGAGGAAGGCAAAGAATGCTAGACAAAAAGCCGCCCACAGCATAGTCCTGTCGAATGATGCAGGACCGACAGACCACTTATCCCATATGGCCTGAGAATTTCTGGAGTAATGGGAAGCCTAATTTTTTTAGTCCCGGGAGAAGAGCGTTTCAAACCCCTTAGAACATACGACAGTTGTGTGAAGGAAGATAAGATGGGATCTGGCAGTCCGGAGGAAGTATGAAAGAATCTACAAGTACTGAGATAAGCAGACACTGTCTGAGGGGACAGGGAACGGTCACATAGAAATGCCACAAAACGACACAAATTTAACTCAGTTAATGGCAGGGGGTGGAGCTGGTAACGCCTACAAAAATTAGTGTAGCACCTCCAACCAGTTAAGTAGGATGAGGCAGTGGAAGAGGCAATCCCTCGTTCAAACAAGTACCGAACAGCTTGGTCCAGGCAGCTGAGCCCCAGTCTGGAGCCTGCATTACCAGTAGCTGCACCACTGGGGGAGGAATAGGGGACTCCTGGTGAGCCTGAGGATAGAGAGAGTGGAATAAGCTTAAGTTATTACGAGACAGCGCGTCCGCTGCATCATTGAGCCACCCTGGCACATGGATGGCGCAGATGTGAAAACCGTGGAAAGCTGCTAGCAAAGCTAGGCACCGCAACAGATGGCTCAATGATGAATCCCTCGCAAATCCCTTGTTAAGCACTTTAACCACTGCTTCGTTGTCAGAATGAAAGCAGACCATGCTACCCCGCCAGCTACTGCCCCACAACATGGCTGCTATTACCACTGGGATCAATTCTAACACGGCGATACTCCTCCTGAGTTCGCCTGGCCATGCCAACTGGAACCAGGGCCCCCGCACCTGGAATCCCCCACATCCAAAAGACCCTGCTGCATCAGTATAGACATGCACAGATGGGGTTGAAGGTGGGAAAAAGGACCTTCCGTTCCACCTTCGTAGGAAACAAAGCCACCACGAAATGTCCGCCTTAGCTCCTCTCGTGAGTCGAACAAAGAAATGTGGCTGCCTAGCTATTGATAGAAGCTGAAATAGTTCGTGTAGAAGGGGCGGCCCTGGCGAATCACGACTGCAGCATGAGACAAGTGGCCCAGGAAGGACTCTAACTCTCTCCTACGACAGGAGGAGTGGCGAGACCAAACCTGAAGTAAGGCATAGACAAGTTCCAATTTGTCATCGGGCAAGCGCAGCTCCCAGTGAGTAAAGTCTACCACAATCCCTAGGAATGTCAGGCATGTGGCCGGGCCTTCCGTTTTGTGCGCAGCGAGAGAGACACCCAAGGTACAGCATATTGATGACACCAATGGCACGATGGAGGAGTTTGTATGACCAGGTGGCTCTAAAAAAAGGAAGTCATCCAAGTAGTGTACCTGTGAGACGAGTCCGTAGCAACCAAACACCCATGCTAAAGAATCAGCAATGGCCGAAAAAAATTTGGGGGCAGACCGCAACCCAAATGGCAAGCAACAGTCAACAAAAATGGCACCCTCCCACATGATGCCCAACCTGTGGTGATCAGAAGGGTGAACTGGGACAATTCTATAGGCGTCCTTGAGGTCGAACTTGGTGAGTAGCGCTCCTCTCCCCAAGCTACGAATAATTTCAACGGCATTATCCACTGATGCGTAACGAATAGAAGCCAGTGATGGGTCAATGCCGTCGTTCACACTGCTGCCAGAGGGGCAGGACAAATCCACAATCATCCTCCTGCTGTTTGGCTGACGTCGCTTTGGGATTAGGCCAATGGGGCTGGTGTGTACACCCAAAGGAGAAACGGGACCAACCAACCGACCTAGTGAGACCTCATGAGATATATACTGAGATACTATGCTGCCGCGACAAAGAGAAGATGGGTGGTTGCAAGCCACTGACCGGAGACTACAGCGAGTGGAATCAAACCCAATCAAAAAGCCCTCCTCAAGACCCCTCAGAATCACAGAGACAAAGGTTCTGTCTGGGTGGTGATGCAGCAGTGAGGCTAGGTGGGATATCACAATTGGTGTGGGAGCTCTTGGCCACTGCGGGTTGCTGCCAGCAGCACGATGAGCCTCCATCTCTACAAGGTCAGCTGTGTACAGATATCTACCACCAACCACCCCTGCTTGGGGGAAGGAAAGCAGCCCTATAAAAAAGAGCTAAGATAAGGCCAGCGCGTACAAGATTAATAAACATACATAACAACATATCATGAACAACAAATGAAATGTTAGTACAAGATAAAGTCAGTAGCAAAGTCATTGCTTGGGTGGGGTCTGCTGACGTCTTCTACCCTGCGATGGGGTGGGCGTACTCTTAGGTGCTGAGCAATCTCTGGCCCGGTGACTACCAAAACAGAGGGAGCAAACATGACGGTAGCTACAGGTTCCTGGAAAGCTACATGCTCCTCTATTCCAGGAGATGCAGACCAAGCTGCGGCGACGGGGCTCTGTCCATGTCTGCTGGGGAGTAGGCGCAATAGAGGCAAGAGCACACTGGCTAGCAGTGTGATCAACCCCTTGGCATGAGGAGCATCGCTTAACCCCCCCCTGTACTGTGGCTTAAAATGAACGCAGAATGAAGACCCGGATCAATGATGTTCCAAGGTTTCAGTGGATCAATGGCCCTTTGTTGCCTTGTAGCTCTGTCATACTCGAGCCACCCGGTCCCTCCGTGGCACATAGCCTCCCCCAAGATCAGCCTTGCATAAGACAACATATCCCTGGCAAAAGGGTCTTGACAGCGGATAGCTGTGTATGCCAAGAAGCAATGAATCCAAGCCAGTGGGGATGACACTTCACGCATGCGAGGCCGACTCATACCATGATGAAGCCCTGTATACTCCAGCTTATCAAGTAGCTTTACATTGTCCAACAAAAATTCCCTCATCTCCATATACTCGCCTGAGCGGGCCTTCTCAACCAGTTTGGCAGGAATTGGTTGGCAATCGGGAGAGAGTACTAGCCCTCCTGAGGCTTGCCTAGTGGGAACAGCTGGAGCCTGAGAGGGACTATGCAGCTGTGTGGAGACGGCAGTATGGGCCACCGGAGGAGACACTGGGCAAAGAGGGACTGAGACTAAGCCTTGTGGAGGGGGAAGCCCACCCAACACTCCAGCACCGCTACCTAAGAGGGAGCACAAGGCTAGACATAATGACAGCAGCAGTGGCATTGGCAGAATGTTGGAATTTGACAAGTGCAATACAACATAAAGAATATGCTACACAATCAATTTTATTTATTTTGTTTTTATTACCACTTACCAGCAGAACCTGTCCCAGGAAGGAGCCTAGGGGCAGCCATTGGAAAAAAAGAAATAGCCCCCGCTCCAGGTGATGATACTACCGTTGGAGGGGGTGGGAAGGCTGTAGTTTGAGGGTGGGAAGTTGTTGACACAGCTGCAGGTAGTGAATAGGATTGCTGCTAGAGCAGCTGCTGACCGTCTCACAACAGAGATGAAGACTGACTCCATGGTGGCAGGGACCTCTGGGGACCAAGAGAAGCGGGAGCAGTGGGGGCAGGCAGTATTCTGTGGTGAGTGCTCAGCTGGTCCGAAATTGAGAGCATCAGCTCCCGGAGTTCATCTAGTGATGCCGATGCGCCACCCTGGGGTACCGGGGAGGGTTCCCGAGTAACACTATCAGAATTACTCACTAAGGGATCTTGGCTGCTCGCTGCTGCTAAGGATGAGGCCCTAGTGGCAGGGCGACCAGAGCGGCGGAAGGGAGACGCCCGAGACTTGCCACGTCCACCACGACCACGACCACGACCTGGCGGCATCACGCTACGGTCCGAAGAGCTTTGAAGCAGCAGAGAGGATGAAGAGAGAGTCAGATAGAATGAAAGGAAGAGTCAGAGAAACAAAAAGACAGAGCAGCCAAATAATGCACAAAGCAGCCAGCAGCCAGCAATATGATTGTAGCACAAGCAAACACGCTGTGCTAGCAGCAATGCCACGCCCACCGACCAACCCTAGCGATAGCCAAGTGTGGACCAGTTCATGGATATTAACTTCGTTTAACCTAGATGCTTAAACTGCAATATATTTTGTGTACAAATATTGATCCACCAACAATTGATAAAAGAGGAATAAACTTACTGGATAATAGTTGGATTCAGACCTGGGGTCAATTACAATTGTAATTGTAATTGAAGGGTCAATTACAATTACAATTACGTAATTGTAATTGTAATTGAACTTTAACTAAATGTAATTGTAATTTCAATTACAATTGAGGTAAATAATTATAGAATGTACAAATAGACTAAAGATATGTTCCTAATGTACTCTAATGCCTATGTGTATAATGATACATAATGTGCATGAGCTCTACATGTTCATGTAGATGAATATGATAATTTTGTTATTACTTTAATGATTTCCACCTGCATCTCCATGGTGACTGCTACGAACTGCCATTTTTTCTGAGTATGGCTAAATCAAGCTGTGTTTTTGACAACTTTAAAGTACCAGAAGAGCTACCTGATTTAAATTTTAAAGCACAATGTAAGCACTGTGATACTATGGTGTCAGGATCAAAGAAGGCTACTTCTAATCTTATCACCCACTTGAA